TACTTTTATTTAGCATACAAATTTTTACCTTTTCTTGTCACTGTCATAAAAAGTTAATTACTCCATCATTGCCTTGGCTACTTAGAATCATAAAACATAGTTTTCTATATTGTCATTGTTTATATTTTTAAAATCTATAATTCTAAATTTCATTTAAACGTTGGAGTGGCTAGTGAGGGTTTAAAATGCGCGAGATTTCTGAAATAAGCTTCAATGGATTTATCAACTGGCTGAAGAACAGAAGGCAGCAAGTACAAATCAAAGGCAAGGATTCAACTCCGATTAACGTAACAAATGAAGTTCTTCATGGTTCGGTGCTGGGACCTTTACTGTTTGTTGTTTATGTAAACGACATTGACTTTGGCATAGTATCAAAATTATAAATGCTTGCCGATGACACGAAGCTCCGTGCAGAGGTCAATAACAAGGAAGGTGCGGAAGTATTAAGACAGAAGATAGCAAATTATACAAATGGTCTGGAAATTGGCAAATTCTATTTAGTATAGATAAATGTACAGTAATGCACGTGGGACGAAAGGACAAGGGCTTTTATTATCAATTGGGCAATAAGGAAATATTATCAAAAGAAGAAGAAAAAGACATTAAAGTTGACATTCATAAAAGCCAAAAAACATCGAGACAATATACTATAGCAGCGGCCAAAACAAATCAAATACATGGATTTATTAGAAGAACAGTGATCAGCATGGAGAAATCCATCATTATAAATCTGTATCAAACATTAGTTCGCTCTCATCTTAAAGTCTTGGCTCAGGTTTGGAGTTCACATCTGCTAAAAAGCAGAGACATTCTGGAGAAGGTGCAGCAGAGAGCAACAAATATAAAAAGATATGGAAAACTTCAATACAAAGAGAGATTGATAGAATGTGGATTAACCATTCTGGAAAAAGAAGATGCAGAGGAGATCTGACACAGACATACAAATTGGTTACCGGGAAAGAAGAACCACCACTCACCGGATTCTTCCAACTGAAGAATAGAAAGAGATTACGAGGTCACAGTACATTTATTTATTTATTGTACTTTTTGTTTGTTTACCTCAGTCTCAAAACGTTTTGAATTTCTTGTACGTTTTAAACGTTAGTCTAATAACACACCTTTCAAACGTTCGTATGTTAAGCTCCTCCAGAGAGAGTGAGTGCTTTTACATTATAGATTGAAAATACGCAAAACAAACAAACAAACACACACGGCCACATACAAACAAACAAACAATAAAAACAAATCTATATTAATATAGATTCATATATTCATACATAATGTGGGTATGGAAAAAAGCATACATATGTTGGTTGGTTTCACATGCATACGGACATATATACATATTTGCGTACGTGCTTACAAAGATAAATACATTTGTACGCATATGCGTGCACGTACTAGTACGCACACTTAAACACGTGTAAACGTACATGCGTACATACGCACATTCATACAATGTGCATATGTTTTTGTGCACATAGATCGTATGTACAAGTACATACAAACAAATGCGCATAACAAACAAACAACTAACACATGTGTATGCAAACACATACACACACACATTTATTCGTTCTAGCATCGTGAAGTTTGCGGTGTACGAAAAGAGCATAAATATACATTGATATATATTTTAGTATGGCATGCTTTTGTCTTGTGTTTTTGGACACATGTGTGTGCGGATATCAAACAGACACAAACAGACAATTAAAAAGTATATATAAATAAATATATATGTGTGTGTGCGTACGTGCGTGCGTGCATGTGTGTGTGTGTTTGTGTGTGTATACACTGTACTCTAGAGCGTAGACAGGCACAACCGACACGACATCACGTGACGCTACGATAGTGACTGTGCAAATAAATCTCAGTTTATAAAAGCTGCTGCACAAACTACGCGTGCACATTTGTATGGCCACTTACAGGAGCTCGTGTACAATATGATACGCCGGCGTGCACATTTGTATGGTCACTAACAGGAGCTCGTGTACAATATAATACGCCGGCGTGCACATTTGTATGGTCACTAACAGGAGCTCGTGTACAATATAATACGCCGGCGTGCACATTTGAATGAACAGTAACAGGAGTTGATTCACATTTTCATCCACGTGAGTACACATAGGCCTGTATGACCAGACCACTGACTGTAGTTCAGCACACGCAGATGTTTTTTTTTGATTATGGCTATTTATGTACATTTTTCACGCACGATTAATCGTGCGACTTGATTTTGAAGTAAATTTTTAATTTATAACAATACTTTTGATTGTTTTAGAATATTGTTAAAGCCTTTTTATTTGCAATGCTGATACTAGATACTAAAAAAATTCCTTTTTATTGTGTTAAGAAAAAGTAACAGAAATTATAACTGCCCATTTGGCACAATTGATTTGGTGCCTTTTCAAAATATCAATATCGAATAATGAAATATCAACTTTATCCTCCTGAGACAGCGAAATTCCTGGATCATATTTTTAACTAAGTCGACAGGACAATTAACAAATAAATTTATTTGAAGGCGGATTTATAGAATGTGGTACCTATATACAATCTTCTGTGCTAAGTGTTCTGGTGTCAAGTTATTTATACACTTGAATATTAAAATAAAAATTTTAAACTAAATACGTTTGTCGAAAACAGTGTTTCTCTAATATTGGCGAGACATGACCAAATAAAAAAGCCCATAAAACATTCAAAGCTGCACAATTTTGAATTTACTGCGAACTTGCTAGAGACTTATTTGAAAGCCCATAGTTTGGTAGCGCAGTAATCTAAACACCAGTGAATGAACGCATGTATCATCAAGCTCCAAACAGTTCCACTGTCCAATGATTTTATGACCATGTTAATCTAGGTAACTTTTGATTATTAATAAAAGTAAGTTTTAAATCAACACAAATAAATTCCCAAATTCAAAGCGTAATGAGAGAATTCTTTTTTAACTTAGTTGGTTTCAAGAGATAATTTATTTATTTTATTTTACTAAGTCGTTGCCAGACCAACTTTTGGTAATCATCAAATTAAATAATTAATTAAGTGATTTAATTAATTATTAACGCTAAGTTCAACATCATTCCTCAAGAAATAATGATCGGAACTTTATAAGTGATGGAGAAGTAGTTAAAGAAAAATGATGATTTTAGAAAAAAGAACCAGAAAGAGCCAGAAAGGATTTGGTATAATGAGGGAGTTTAACAAAAATTAAAAGAAGTGAGAACGAAAAAACAATAGCTTTTAGGTTTAGCTAAATTATTTGATAAACTCTTAAAAAATAATTTAAATTATTATTTGTATATTAGTGAATAATGTGCAAGTTTTAAAAATTATTCTATATTTCAATGTATCTAGTGTTCAAAAGTATGTTATGAAGATATGCGAGATAAAGTAGGGACATAAGCAACTAAACAAGCAGCAGGATTCAAATCTTCAGTTGAAGGATTCAGCCAACTGGGATCCAATGTGGCTGTTGTTCCGTGGTCTAGACATCCACGATCACCAGGTAAAACTTCTTTGGTCACATAGCTCGTGCCAGTCCTATGGAGGATCATTACCGGGACCGCGCGGCCATCTAAGACTGTCATGGATCCGCTCAGTGGAGAAGGACCTGTCCCTCATCAACTACGGTCCTTACTCGGCCTGGAGACTTGCTCATGATCGCTTGAAATGGAGGCACCTTGTGAACACGGCAACGTCCCGTTATGGGACACGCCCGCCCATAATAATAATAATAATAATATAAAGCAGAATCAGCATTAGAAAGTCATCATTAGTTCGAGATGACCGGTGAACAAGATTGTGGTTAACCAGACCTATTTTTGATGGAGACACGGTCCTAATTCATTTCATTTTTTATTCTTACAGATAATACAGTCTGTAATATTAGTAGCTTTTGTTGTTAATTAGTTGTTTTTAGTGTTGCTGAATTGTTTTAAAAGATTGAAGATTGGGGATGCTTAGACCACGGAACAACAGCCACATAACATCGCTGTTGACTGAATCCTTCAACTGAAGATTTGAATCCTGCTGCTTGCTTAGTTGCTTGCACATTATTCACTAATATACAAATCACAATTTAAATTATTTTTTAAGAATTTATCAAATAATTTAATTAAACCTAAAAGCAATTGTTTTCTCGTTCTCATTTTTTTTAAATTTTTGTTAAACTCCCTCGCTATACCAAAAGATTTTGTTGTTGCTTACTTGCTGTAATAGAACCAACGTTAATGCAAGTTTGATCAGGTCCGGAATAGGCTTTTACCAGGCCCTAAACTAAAACGAAATCCGGGCCATCATTTTGACAACAAATTACTGCTGAGAAAAAGTCAATATTAAATGTAAACTATAATTTGTTTTACATATTAATAAAAATTGTAATTTCTGTTGCACTTTGGATCCCTTTGAGTCCCGGGGGCCCTGGTTCAACGATCCTGTTGAACCAGCGGTCCATACGCCACTGATTTTGTATCGAGTTTGCGAATAGCTTTAATCGAATTTATTTTAAAAACATTTTAGCTGTTTAAATGTTTTTATTCCTCTGTATGAATTTATCAGAAATATTTTAAGTTTTCTTGTTCATTTTTTAAATTTTTGTAAAGTTTGTTGTTGCTTATTTAAAAAGTTTATTTGCTTCATTGCATTTATTTTAAATTTTTTGTTTATTCTGACATACATGGTTATTGCACAATGCACGTGCATGTAATATAAAAATTGTTTCAAAAATCTATCAAATTAACAAAGTTTGTGTGATTCAATGATGAAATACAATAAGTAACCCTTTTGTTAGTTTCTACATGAAAGCGACAAAGAACAACTTTGCCTTGTGCAAACAAGGCGCGAATAACATATTTGCAAAATCAATTCTATCGTGAAATGAAATTTAATTTAACACAATGATTATTCAAAATATTTATTTTTGTTGACAATTATTTTTTATTTTACTGTTGAGATTGTTCTTATGTGGCAAAAACATACCTTTTTTTTACGATAATTAACGGTTATTCGCAATCACATAAGTTGTCTTTAATAACAGGAAGTTTAGGTTTTTTGCAATAACAAGCGTTTGCTGAAAAGCCGGATTTCACGCGACCACCCTGCTGAATCTTGGCTGCGCATTTATTTGTTTTTCTGTTGCACCAGACGTATTCTGTATTTTTGTTTGAACAACAGTCGTCATCTTTCCAACATTGAACATCACCAGGAGAAACTTCATAAGATGGATTGAAATAGTTGTTGCCCATCATATCATCGTGTAATATTCCAAAGGGCATCATAATGCTGTCACCCGCATACTCATCGTCCAATTCCGTTTTTTCATATATGTTTGGATAAGATATATTGGCATTCGGATATCTTATTTGAAGATCTTGTTTAAAGTGTTTTTCATACATGTAGTCCACAAAACTATGATGGAGATAAAAGAGGGGATCGCTTGGAGAGCAGGCAAGGTATGACATCAACTCACCAACGAAGATATGAACTAAGCCATGAACTGTTTCAAATGTATCATCCCATGGTATACATAGTTGCTTGTAATCTGAAGCTTTTTTGAGAAAATCTGTAAAGTCTTCGTGAAATAGACCTTCCATGTCAGTTGGAATGGCTCTCGATAAGTTTTTTGAAATTTCTTGACACGACATTGACTCAGTCGTCGAGAAGCCAGCAGCGAATCCTGTTTTCACCTCCCCGAAGGCGTTTCCCATGAGATCGGATGAAAACATTATTGATTCCCTGGGATTGGGACCAGATCGAGATAACAAGCGGTTGTCCCAATATGGCATCATGCATTTTTTGTAGTATCGCTGCATGGCTAGTTCAAACCTTCAAATAATTATTCAACATAAAAAATTCACATAATTTAAAAAAATTTATAGTGTTTGTATATGATTCAAATCTTTTTAGACAAATTTAACAAATGCTCTAAAGTAAATAAAATATAAATAAAGAGTTTTTATGACTACCATATGATAAGATAGAAAAAAAATAACAGTAATATGTAAAGATTAATAGATAAATTGAAAAGCATTTATTTAGATGTACTCGTATAGTACTCGATTAAAAACCCATTAAGAAATTAAATGCTGCCAACAAGTAACATAAAAAACGTAACATGAAGGTGGTAACATGAGTAAATAGAATCGGTGCCAGATGATGAAACTTGGTCCATTGTGGGCGGATGGTGCCTTCTCAGCATCATGGAAAAGCACGAACAAGTCGTATTCGTTGTGCTGTCCTACTTTCTTCTTCTTCATCAAAGACATTGCATTGTGAACGCACATTCGTTGGGAGTCGTCCACGCACAGATACTCATTGCGTTTGAACATTTTTGCCGATCTCTTTCTGATAATTTGAATAAATTCAAACAAATAATTTACATCTTATTCATGATTATATATTGTTTAAGGAAATATTTGAATGTAAATAAATAAAAAATATTAGCTGTAAGGTTGTGCTGGTTTTAGAAAATCTTCCAATCTGTTCAATGAAATGGCTGTCCTTATCTGAAAGTTCTACGCCGTGAATTTGCTGTTTCCATGGTATTTTGGCCAATAACAATGCTTCCTCTTGGCTCAAGTAACAACTCGTTAAATCAAACTTTGATATAACGTCTATAATTATAACAAACCGCCACAGAAACATTTTTCTTGAAATATTTAATTTGGTTCTCTTCTAAATGTTTAAAACGGGCACATATCATTTCTAAGAGTGTATTAATTACTAATATAATTATAAAGAAACATTTGATTTCAATTAAATAAAGAATGCAAAATAAAAATTTGTGATTCGAAAAATTTAAAATGATATAAATTTGTTGAACAGCTTGAAAACTAATTATTGTTTGATTGCTCAAGACAAAAAAATAATTAGCAGTAACTACGATACGATTTTGTCAATAATTTTAATCAATATCCATGAAGGAAGCTCTGAAAAGTTTCAAAATTGTACATGCTTGATGCTCATTCACGTGCTTTAATCAAGTTGATATATTCTAATACACTATGTTGAACAACTTTTTGTATATAAGTTAATTTATTTTTAGTTAAATTACAAAAACTGTAATTAGCTCTACTATGTTCTTCCTGATTCTTTACTATATCCTTTAATTAAAACATTAAGCTCTTACAGTCCTCCTTTGGTTTGTAACCATGGATATAAATGTAAATAAATATAAATAAATAAAATATAAAATAAATATAAATATCCATGTTTGTAACATCTTATGTTTGTATGTTATCAATGCATATTTGTTTGCTTTACGGGATCTGTTCCTAATCTTTTTGTGTTTTGATGTTAGATTTTTCAGTGGGCAGTTGTTTTCTCATATGTGCTCATTATTGTTGCTTTTCATTGTTTTGTTGTAATTTTCTCCACATTCTGTTTCTGGCTTTTTTCAGTTTAAGGGCTTGGTTTTCTACTTTTTCTTTTTTGTATTAAGAGACAGTGGATTCAATTAATTTTAGCATACAGTATTTGAAAATTTCCCAATTAGTTTCAGTCTCGAGAGAATTTATTTTGCTAATTATATTAAGATAATTTAATTTTTTACTATATCCTTTAGTTAATTTGTTTAATTTTTTGTTTTACCATCTTGCAGCCCGTTTTGTTGAAGTTTAATCTTGTTAAAATATTTTTTGTCGTTCTGTTGTAGAATCAAATTGAAACGGACTATTTGATAATAATCGTTGTTGAAAATGGATGTCCTTTTTGTCATATTAACTTCTTGAGTTATAACTAGATCCAGGATATTGCCCCTCTGGTACGCTGTGTCACTAATTGTAGTAAGATTTATCGTTGACAAATCTTTCGCCGTTATACTTTTGTAGGAATAGGTACACCTAGTAAAATTCTTTTATTACTGCATCGATTTTGGCCCCAAATTGACTTCTTGAAGTCGCTACTCACAAGATCCGTTCTTTCTATTACAGAAATTCTGTTCAACAAACTCATTTTTTGAAAAAATTTCGTATGCTTTTTTTTATATGGGGACAATTTTGGATGCCTTAAAGATCGATGAAAAAGTTATCTAGTTCAAAATTTGTCATGTTGAGAATAATATTTTTTTATGCATAAATTATTGTCCATCATCTGATGTAGATCTGGAAGCTCCAAAATTCAAGCAGTATTCAGGAATTCTGGTTCATTTATTTCAGCAAAACACAATCTCGGACAAAAAGAATTGGTTGCAAACACTTAATCTAAAATAGTGTAAGTGATAAGAGAAGAGAAATTATTTTTTGTTGCATCACTGTTAACGAGTTCAACAAATTATTTTTATTGTGTTTCACTTCAAAATTGAATGTAAATGGGATTTCGGTAAAGCAGCAAACAGAATGTCAATATGACAATATTATGTAATTGAACAAATAAACATATTGTAAAAGTTATTTCTGCCACACAAAATCAACTTTTCAATCCATCCAATCGGTCGGTCGGTCGGTCGGTCGGTCGGTCAGTCAGTCAGTCAGTCAGTCAGTCAGTCAGTCAATCAATCAATCAATCAATCAATCAATCAATTAGTTTATAAAGCGCTATTTCCGCTCCTCAATGAATTTTGCAAACAGATGGGAGATCCGCTCTGAGCTTCGTAAGTGATAGAGAAGTAGAGAGTTCCAGAAAAAAGGGCCAGAAAAAGCAAATGCAGATTTAGCAAAAGAGTCTGTAACACGAGTTAAGAAGTGAGAACAAAAAGACGGTCTTAAACCAGGGCGTTTAGGCTCAATTAATATATTTGATAAGTACTTAGAAAATAATTTAGATGGATTTTTTAAAAAGTTTTGACAAATTATTCAATAAAACATTATAAGGGAAGCAAAAATCATGCTTCTAATGGTCCCTGACAAATCATCATTATACCTCCAACTGATTTGATATCCATATGTTGAGAACAACAGCGCTAAACTTTTCCAGTTAACGTTTTAGTTCAAAGACTATGCCTCAATTCTTACTGTAAAAAGTGCATCACACGTTTTCTATATACGTATATGCACTGAACTAATATATTTCAGTGGTGCATCATCTTGAATATTATCACAAATGAAAAGTGAATTTTTGTTATTGCCTCACTAAAGTCTTGTTATCTATCTGCTGTCTTTTGATTATATTTGCATTGTTTGATGTTTTTTGACGAGCGTTGTTTAGTTTAGTTTAGGGTTTCAAAGTTTTTTTTACTTGCTCGAATTTTGTTATAAATATAATATTAATAATGGCTGTGGTGTTTGAAAATGTTCATTATTGTATCATAAACGAAGATGGCCAGTTGACAAAAAAATGCTCCTCCATCGTTTCGTTGACATTTCGATCTTCCCAGAATGATGTGTTTGTTGATATTTCCAATGGTTAGTTAAAAAAAGAAAGCCTAATTGACTACGAATTATAAATAAATAAAAATTAACCGACGACCCCACTGCTGCTGTTAATTAAATTTTAATTTAATCTTAAACTAGTTAGAATGCAGTGCAGTGAAATAATTAAATTAATTTAAATTAATTAAATACATTTAAATTAAATAAATTAATTATTAAAATTCAAAATGGTAGGTTTTTTTTACCTGATTAATTTTTTTTATCAATTTGATCTTTGCCCAGAGCTGAGTGCAATGTATTCATTGTGTGTAATGTAATTATTATGTGATAATGACCATTTTTCATAAAATTTAAAAACTCTTGACATAAGACTGGCTTCTACGATTCAATATTGAAAAATGTACTGTAATGCACTATATAAATGGAATATTTCTTGATGAATCTGAATCCGAAAGAGATCTATCACAGCATCATACAGAGCAAATCAAATGCTTGGTCAAATAAAAAAATCTTTTGGGAAATTTGATTATAAGTTGCTTCATAATTTATGCCTGACTTTTATTCATCCACCGTTGGAGTTTGCGGTATCAGTTTGGTCACCAGATCTAAAATGTGATAACGAGGTCATCTAAAGGGTGATAACGAGGTCATTGAAAGAGTTCAGTACAGAGTAACAAAATTGACTAAATCTATAAGAAACCTAACTTACGAAGATCTTTTTAAAAAATTAGAATTAACAACTTTAGAAGAAAAAGAGGAGATTTGATTCAGCTGTTTAAAATCACACATAATTTGGACAAATTTGATTTAAATAATCATTTTAGCATAGTCAAAACCAAAACGCGAGGTCATAGTTTGAAATATTTTAAAGAATTAACAAGACATAGAGGCAGAGAGAATTACTTATTCAACAGAGTGGCAAATCCTTGGAACTCATTGTACATGTTGGGCACGATCAATAAACAAATTTAAAGCAGGTATTGATTATTGGATGAACAACAATCAACAAACGAATTGGCATGCTCTCTGGATAACCTCCAGAACAGCATTACTGCTACTTTTACTACTACTACTTTTTTAATTTATTACATGAATTCACCTCAACAGTAGTGCATTGGATAGGACTTTTTAGTATGGTATTTGGATTTCGCTAGATTGTAAAATAAAAGTTAGAGCCAGACACTGTTACTGCAGTTTTATTTTTGAAACAGATTAAATATCCAAACAGTTTTAGAGGAAATGTGTGCTCTTCGCGATCCACCATGCTCGTAGAAACACAATGGGGCATGTGCTGTACATACATATTATAACCTTTATTCATAATGTAATCTTTAAAAAGTGCCTAGGTATAAAAAAATACCTTAAACACACTTGAACAAATACACTTTCATGATGACCATTCTTATTTAGCATTTAGTTTCTACTGATCGTCTTCGTCATAAAATAATGAATGTTTATTGCTTATTTATAATCTTTTGGTAGATATAAATCATAGAAATCTATTAACTTTTTTATTTATACTCGAAATATGCATTTATCAAACCCCATACACTTTATAGTTTATACATAAAATTTTAAAATAAGCAATGAAGATTAGTCTAAAACAAAAATTTTCTGTCTCTATCATTAAAAACATGACCTAGTATCATCAGAGGAAAATTGTTCAGTAATTTTATTTTAGAAACATTTCATTTTTGCAGTTATATTAGCTTTATAATGTCTTACTTTGCTATAAGATCCGACAAATGCTTTTTGCATTCATTATTTTTATTTTCTTCCACTGGTTGAAAAAAATATCTCCCATATGATTAATGATTAATTATTTAATGCTTTTTATTTATAATTTCATCAGTTTGTGATGCTAGTAAATGACATTCATTTCACATCATTCAAGTCACCACCCATGCATTCATTTTTCATATCAATTTATCTTTTTGAAACTTTTAATGTAGGACAAAAAGTCATCCAGTCAATACCTGTCTCCCAGAATTCATGCACAGTTAAAGTTGGCAGCAGATCTGTTGTATTGTCAAATAATGAAACCTCATACATGATCAACTTTAAAGGAGCAAATGGTTATTGGACACAATTCTATTCTCTTCTCATGTTTTCTTTTTTTAATTTTTAAATTGTTTGAATGTTTAGATGCAAAATCTTTTGAGACATCGTTGAAGTCAGCAGTTTCGCCAGTGAATGGCTCAATATTCAGTCAACGGACCGACGCCTCCTCTGCCGAACAGTATTTTCAGGTTTCCAAATTTCATTCAACTAAATGCTTTATTTACTCTTCCATTTTATGTTTCTAGCAGGGTGTCAGAGTTAATGGAAGGTTGCAGCAAGAGTCACAAATCATAGAGCACTTTCAATCAGATGGTTTTGAACAAATTAAGTCCATTTTAGTCATGTCCTAAATTGAATTTTCATACTTGTGTTTCATTGGAGATAGTTGTGAGCATGTTTTAATAGTGACCATAGATGTCGCCAAATGTGCTAAACCACTAATTTAAATTTTTAAAAGTTAGGCAAAACATTATTTGGTTTATCATGAAAGCTGTGATCATTTTTAAAACTTTTGTCAACGTTGTTGGAAAAAATTTCACACATGAAAGTCTCATGAAAGAATGATGCAAATATTAATTATTTATTTGTAATATTAACATTTAATATAAATTTAAAAACTAAATGAGCAAACCCTTGGAAGTCCTAATGTTAAATTTAAATTATGCAAAAAAAACCTTAAATGTAAATAATAACATTACCGTATGTTTCAAACAATTGAATTAACAAAACGACATCTTAAATCACAGCTCAAAACAGTAAGCACTGCACAAAATGTTATATAGTTGCCTTGCAGCATTTTTATAAACAAATGAAATATGATTCTAGGAAAGGAGGAAAAATATCACATTAATTTGTTTTGAATGGTTTTTGAATTGAATTTTATTTTATCATAAGTTAGTGAGTGGTTTTTTAAATCGTAATGCAAAAGCTGAAAAAATTTGTTGGGAGTCTGAAAAGTTTTTAGTCAAGGAGTTGGACAAATTTTCAAATTTTGATAAGTTTTGAATGCCTTGGTTTTTGGGCTATTCAGATAGTGCTGCATTTCTTAATTACAACACATTTTTTCAAATTTGTTAATTTTTTTGTGCAATTATAAATTACATTTCATAAGAATTTGTCATTTTAAACATTTTAAGTAATCTCTTAAGTAAGACATTTTCTTTTATCCTTAGTTTTATGGCTACATGTCTCAGCAGCAGAATATGATGCAGGATTACATTAGGACATCCACCTATCAGAGAGCCATGCTTGACAACACCATGGATTTTAAGGACAAAGTAATTTTTTATATGTTTGGTTAATAAGTCTTGCTGCAACAACTAAACAACTAGTTCATCTACAAATTTTGTCCTCTGTCCTCTTATAATGTGTCAGTCATTCTTAGAAAACTTAAAGGCAATTTTTTCATTTTTAATATATGAATATTTATCAGATGAAACATCATCAACTTGTTAATTTAGAAATACCTATGATGTTTAGATAATAATGTTACTGTGTATTTGTAGCTGAATGTAATAATTTCACTGATGATGCATCTATGGTTAATTGCAATTAGGTTGTGTTGGATGTTGGAGCAGGATCAGGCATTCTATCATTTTTTGCAATACAAGCAGGTGCTAAAAAAGTTTATGCTATTGAAGCTTCAAGTATGGCCAAACATTGTCAAGTTAGTTGGATTTTTCATCATTTCAAAATTTTTTCACATTTTTCATTTTTTAATATTAAAGTTGGTTTTTTTTAGACTTTGGTGAACAACAATAGACTCTCGGATGAGGTTATTGTCATTGCTGGAAAAATAGAAGAGGTATCTCTACCGGAAGAAGTTGACGTCATCATATCCGAGCCCATGGGGTACATGCTCTTTAATGAGCGCATGCTCGAAACATTTCTGCATGCTAAGAAGTGGCTTAAACCAAATGGTGAGATTTTTGAGTGAACAACAAATTTGTTGGAATGATTTTGTTCTCGCTTGATTATACCTAATAATCTGGTACTTGTTTGTCAAATGTATTAGGCATGAATTTCATCGCTAGATGTTGTAAATTGTGTAATAAGTTTATTTAGCAATTATTATTTCAAACTGGTGTTCCATATTTACGTTAAATAAGTTTTTTCTGTTTGTCTGTCTGTAAGGTCTGTTTTTTTCAAATTTATTTTTCAGTCGGAAATTGACAAAATTCAAAATTATCCTCATTGTAAGAACATTAGGTGGAAGTAATTAACTTTAGCCATCTTTAATGAAATTTTGTTTGCAGTCATCTAAACTAACTAAACTAACATTAACAGAAGGTGCACTTAACATAATAATCTTAACAGGCAAGATGTTTCCAACGCAAGGTGATCTTCATATTGCTCCATTCACTGATGAAACACTCTACATGGAACAATGCTCCAAAGCTAACTTCTGGTTGATTTCTTTTTCTCATTTGGTCAAATTGCTTTGTTATTATTTAGTTATGGAAGAGCTTGCCACTCATCATCCACCAACAACCATCAATAGAAATGCTTCAGATGCCATTGAAACAGCATCTGTTCGAACTGGCCTTCGGTGGTCGTGCTGACATCTGTTTATCCGGGCGCCTCTGACGCTATGCGTAGGGCGCTGCACAGATGACATTATCATTTTTATTATTCATCTGCATAGAACAGATTTGTTTTTAACTATACTGGATCAACTGTTATACAGGTATCAGAACTCATTCCATTCGGTTGATCTCTCAAGCCTGAGGGAGGCTGCCATACAAGAATATTTCAAGCAACCCATTGTGGTATGATTCATTTAAAGTATTGTGTTTCTTATAAAATAAATGGCATAATTTTGAACAATAAATTTGTTGAGTCGTTGAAGATCACCAATTTCACTCTTCATCGTTTCAATAACACTTGCTCCTAACTGCAGAAGTGGTTGATATCACAATTTTTATGATTTCATTTATCCAAAGGTTTTCTGATGCTAATCTAAAAAATTGTTTCATTCTAGTGATAATAGGACTCTTAATAGTTAAACTTCCATCTGTTTGGTTTCTTTATTATTGCGGAATAATCTACTTATTCTCATTAGTTTGTAGATTATCATTTAGTTGCTTGACAAATAAATATTTGTCATGTTATTAAATCATCATTTATAACATAGATACGTTTTGTGCAGAAAAATTTAGTTTAAGCAAAATTAATTTTTATATACAGGCTTGCTTTAAGCTTTAGTTTCCATTATTTATTTATTTATTTCTGTGCTTGTTAAAATTAAAATTCATAAAAATTAGTTTTTTTCTTAAACTCTGTGTAGTGTACTCATTATTGTGTGACCATGTTTCCTGATCACCTGTAACTATAATTTAATTAAAATGATGATATTAATACTTTGTCTATTCAGTCATCTACTTTTATATTGTTTGTTTCTACACCATGAGCTAATTTCTCAATTACCAATTTATATTTTCAAGATGAACTTTAATAACATGGCTCGTAAATATTTATTTATTATTTGATAATGAGTCATATATTTTCAGGACACGTTTGATATCCGAATCTGTTTGGCTAGATCCATAAAATACTCCGTCAACTTTGAAACCGCTCGTGAATCTGACCTCTACAACATTGAAATTCCTCTGAACTACGTCGTCCTTCAGTCTGGCACTGTTCATGGTCTTGCTTTTTGGTTTGATGTCGCCTTCCTTGGTAGTCAGTGAGTCCCTCTTTGTAATTTGATGTTTGTCTTCCTCGCTGTTTTTTCTTTTTTACAGACTAACACCTGTATTGTTTATCGATATAATGCTGATTTCTTTCTTTGTTACTTTCACTGATATATATATATATATATATATATATACATATATATATATATATATATATATATATATATATCTTCTTAACCTAAGCATTGCTGCCATCATTCTCTTTCGACAAAACATATATATATATATATATATATATATATATATACATTTTAGTTAATTATATTGATAATTTGAAATCGCTTCTTAACCTAAGCATCACTGCCATCATTCTCTTTTGACAAAACATCGTAATATCGTCTAACTGTATAAACTTAGATGAATATTTTATAAGGCATTACTAAACTTGAAAATGAAATAAATTTTTTTATAGAACTGCTGTTTGGCTGTCGACAGCTCCTACCCAACCTCTTACTCACTGGTACCAAGTTAGATGCTTGTTGCAGACACCGATATTTGTTAAGCAGAGCCAAACATTATCTGGAAAGGTGGTCCTCAAATCTAATAAAAGGTTATTTACTTATACACAGATTTGTAAATGCTATTGAATCTTACATCATAACTGACTGGCTGATTGATGGCTGAATGCTTCCATCTATTCATTCAGGCAAAGTTATGACGTTGAAATCAGCTTGGGTGTACCAGGCACCACCATCAAATCTACCAACAGTTTGGATCTGAAGAATCCATTTTTCAGGTTCGTTGAAGTATTTTTTTAATGAATTGCCCTTTTAAAAAGTAGAAACTTTTTTGCTATTTATTTAAAAAATATTTACTTGGCATAATGTTGCAGTAATGCTGAAGCAGACCTATTGTGTAACATTATTTACTAAACTTTACCAATTTCGTCACGTTTCATCATTTACAATGTCCTGTCATGGAAAGTTCAAAAACATTTTTTTGATGAGTTGCTATCTTAATCAAATAGTTGTGATAAGTTGCACTTGTTGTTAATTTCAATGTCGCGCATTGTTGTAATTTTTCCTATTTTTCATTTTGTGTTTATTGCCGTATCATTTTCTCGAGAATATTTTGCGGTGGATAATTTCACTTTTCTTCAACTTATCCTAGCGATATGTTTCTTTTGTTCCAAAAATTTTCTCCTCTACCGATTGACGCCCAAACAAAAACGTTCACTCCCTGTCGTCGTGTGTAACAAGTTTTCGCATTTTTATCCGTCCACATGCGTTTCTGTCTAAACGAATATTATATCGTTTCAATTCTTCGTCATTCATAACCATTTGAGAAGAATTATTTTATCCATTTTGAAATCAGATCTAAAAAATTATACGAGCGAATGAAGATATAAAAATCAGTATGAAATGCATCATTTAAGAAATTTTGATTAATAACCAGATTCAAGACGTAGGTAGCTTACTTTTTGCTTTAAACACGCCATGCAATATTCACTGACTAATAAATATAAAGCTCGCGTGGTGCTGCTGAAAATAGGTCTTTTTCATTGAAATTTTTCAAATAAATTGGGATATTTGTTATGTAAAATTCTTTCTAATTTATTATGACTTGCAAAATGTTTATTTTATTTTAATTTTGCTCACTTATACTAAAGTAAATTGTACCAATTTAGTTTTTTTTTATAAATTTTTTCTTATTTAAGATAAATTTAAAATGTTGGTAACAATAAGTTGGTATGTAAATATTTCAAACGTTAGATACACAGGCCAGCCCCCTCAACCTCCTCCAGGGACAAACAATGCATCCAACGATGCATACTGGAGTCAGCAAGATGTCAACAGTTAGTAGCAGGAGTTATCTTTCGATGTTATCCTATCTGATTTTTGCATCTCACTTCAATATTATGTGTTATTAAGTTATGTTCTGAAACTCTTTCCCACAGCTCAATGATAAATGCTTTTGAAAATGTGGCTTCTGGTGATTTTTTTACAATTATTAAATGTATTACAGTGACTCTTTTATCTTTTTTATATTGTCACAACGGTTTCGTTAACATTTATTCTTGCTATAATGGATTGAATCATTAGACATTTAATTCTTTCTTTTTTCCAAATTTTTAAATTTACTGTTGATGTATGCTTTAATTAAATAGAAATAATAAATTTACAACTTTTTATCATTTGTGGCGGTGCTTCATTGATGCCTGTTTCTTGATACGTGTATGTGTAGGAAATAAATCACTTGAACACTGTGTGTCTTTGATTGCCAGTTAATTTTTTCATTACAAACGTGTACCATATGTTTGCACTCTAGTATGTGGACACTGGTGAAGCAAGTGAAAGCGTTTCAAGACACGCATTAGAAGTTGTACGTTTGGGAACAAAATTTTAAGTGGCTAGAGCGTACAAAGCGATAGATTTGGAGAATGTAAAAGGTGGAGCAGTTAACCCCATTCAATTTGTAAAAGATTTTGGCGAGAGATCAAACTTCTTTATTATAGAAGGTCTCGCATTATCTTGATCAAACCCATACACCGAGCTTCTAGGTGGAACCCAGGTTTTTTAAATGGCCAGCAGTTGAATTTGTTAAATTTATTCACTCGCTTGACTAATGTCTTGAAATTTTGCATTTATCGTGTCTTTATCAGCTTCAACTAGTACATTTTCGACATCAAAATTGTCTGATCAAAGTTTCGTAAACCGATTCTGGCACTGAAGTACTGTCAATACATATCCCTTATACACATCGGTCAATTCTTTTCTTCTTTGAACAGCAATTTTACCTTTTTTATAGTAAAAAAGTGTGAACACAAGTGCTGCTATTTGCCCTCCATATTTAAAGAGGCACCAACTGAAAACTACTTTGTAGATTCAATTGAACTCTTCCACACGCAAGCCAGCTCTCAAAACATATAATGATGTGCGGCTTAAGTGTCAAGTTGGGTTCCAAGGTACTATTAATCCTTTGTCTGGAAAAAACAAAATTACACTTTCTTAACCTAACGATATATTTGTTCAACTGGGGTTTTTAGTAAAAAGCTCAATTGAATAAAATTATCTTCCAATGTTTTTTTATTATTTTTTAATTTTCCGTATTCTTTCAAGTTTCTTACTTTTTCAGGGTTTAAATTTTTAAATTCGTTAGTTAAAATTTATTTTGAATTTGTTAGAAGTATGAATATATCATTATCATGTACGTTTTATAGGCGCTCTTAATCTTTCTGCCCAGTGTTCGTTTCATATATATATATAAAAAGATATGTGCAATATTTTTCTTTTGTTATATATTTATATATATATTTTTGTTTGTGTGTCTTTGTGCGTGTGTGTGTGTGTGTGTAAATACATGGCCAATTTTGTGGATACACTTCGTAATAACGTTCAATGAATTACCTAAATATAGTTTATAGCTTTAAATCTTCTTCAATAATTTACTGTCTTATCAGTTAGCAAACATCAGAAAAAACGAACAAACTGATACTACGTCTCTGAAAATGTCTCTTTCATGAGCCGATGCTCATAGATCACTGACAACAAACTTAATGGTCTCCGTATGAAATAAGATTTTTACGGCGTGTTGTTGTTGAACCGTACCGATACATGTTCTTAGTTATTACGTTCAGTTATGTAGTACAGTGACTTTTTGTTTTTAATGTTTGCATTTTGCTTGGTTGTCTGCTAGTTTTTATCCAACTTCCATCAACCACACCAACATTAATCTATTGTTGCCATCTAAGAATATTTAGTTTTTTAAATTTGCATCTAGCTCTCGTTTTTTTATGCAGCTCATCATCCAACCCCATTTTGTTTAAACTATTGTTTCATAATGTATTTGGTAAACCATTTGGACAACAAAATTTTTTAACTTGCTATATTTTCGCCATACTTGCTAACGTATAGCGTATTTTTTTAGTTTGTTCCTCAACACATCATATTCTATCATTTGCCGTTTCAACTATGCCCCGTCTAATCTGTCCTTACTTAAATTTCTGTTATATCTCTAAACCAGCTTGTGTAAAGTTTTTGATAAGAGTCAATTTTGTTGCTTAATAACATTAATTTGGTAAAGGTTATAATTTATAAATGTTTTTTCATGTCAGATCAACAAAACAATTCATTCAATGTGACCTTATTAAATGGAAATCTAACAGTTCCAGATAGCTCACAAATGGTTCAAACTGGAGTTGTCTACAATAATTTGTTGCCTCTTGGTTAGTCTGCTCACGATTTTCCGAGTTAATTAAAAATTACGATCAAAAGTTATAAATTATTACTTATTGATTGAATGGCAGCGTGCACAGAAAACTAAAAAAAACGAGACCTTCTTTTCAAATTTACTGCCAGCATTAAGTTTATGCAAGTAATTCAGAAGAAAAAATGATTCTTCTTTGAAATGGATGCTGATTCATATTTTGTGTTCGATGTTTGCATTTGAGGTTATGAATTGAGAAAACACATTGCTCAACGTTTTCTCTGCAGTTTCGAACCATTACTTTATGCTTGAAACGCTTTCCACAAAGAATGCGCTGGGTTTTAATTTTGCAAATTTCCGATTGAATCTCATTTTGAACATAGATTTTTACATATTTTTAGGTAATTTAGCTCAGGTACATCCAGTTAACTTATCTGCAAGTAATCCATCATCCAACAACAATGCAGTTCAACACGCTCTACAAACTCGAACTTCGGTTGGCGGAGGAATATCACCTCTGCTTATAAATCAGGTTTATTATTTTTATAACTGTTTTTGCTGTTTTGTGAATGGAATGCGTTTTCTGTATTGTATTTTTAGTTGTGTTAGAATATTGTAAAATTACTTTTAGCGACTAAAAATGTTTTAAAAATTTTGAAAATCGATTTAAAATTGAGCAGGTAGTTGAGGTTTCCAGGTTGTGTTTTCATCAACACTGCTTAATTCTCTTCCTTGTCTCCTCGAACAAACTACGAAGCCATTTTTGAAGAGTTACTTTTTTATGTTTACTTTGTTTTTACCTCAGCCATACATCACAAGCAATCTCTGTCTTGAGACCTCTTAATAATAATTATTACATTCCAACATTTTTGCCAGAAACTGCACATAAAAGTCGATCACATTATCATACATTCGCGGACTCACGTTGACTCAAAGGCTCTTATTTATTTTTATCAATTACAATTGCACTTTCTTCATTTTTTTTGCTCTCCATTAGTACCAGATCACGAACGTACCACACCTCCACTTTGCATCTTCTTGCTAATAATCTCCGTTCCTTTGATAATAGACAATTTACAGTAAACACTGGCTAAACAGCAGGGCAGAACCTTGTTGGTGCAGTTCGGTGAAGACCAGCTTGAATATCAAACCAACCGTCCTATCTCTTTATTCCTTTCGTGCGTCTATCACTGAGTCAACCCACCATCCGCACTCTTCTCAATGCTTATTCAAGACAACTATCTATTCTTATTTTAAAGTTAAAACGATGCAACACCTCGTCAATGTTTTCAATTAAATTGACTGGCAATTTGCTTTTGTCGCAACAAAGTCTTCACAATCAAGCAATATTAGAGATATGTGTTTAGACAAACCCATGTCACTGCCATTGTGCTTGTCATTGATGTAAATTCATGCATGCAAGCAATAACAACCTGATATATTTGTAATACAAATTGTAAAAAATTGTCCTCAATGTACTTGTACACATGTCAAAATTAAATCTAACGAACTAGCCTATCCACATTTAATCTTGTTATTTGCAAGTTTTAATGATACCTATGGAGCTAATTTTTTTACTTGCAAGTTTTAATGATACCTATGGAGCTAATTTTTTAAGCAAACGTTTTTAAAAGTGTTAACATTTGAACTTGGAAAGAACTTGTAATATGTATACTCAGAAATTAAAGTATGAATGGTTTCTTGCATTAGCATATATTATTGTAATGTGCTTAAATATTATTAATGCAATTTTTATAGCAAAATATATCAACTGGAACCAATTCTGTACTTTCTGGAACAAATGCCATGAGCTTGAATCATTACATCATTGGCGATTACATGTTACCATCGAACGGTTTCTTGTCATCCAATCAATCAAACAGTACAGATGCCATCAGCTTTAAAGCACAATGAAGAAATTTTCTACATACTGGACTTAGCATTTTGACATCATGTTTTTTTTAAGTAAAATTTCTCAAAAACTTCTAGGTATTGTTTTTTTTAACTTATTCTTTATTAACATGTTACTGTATATCTTTTAAATGTGTTCCAAGGAAGACTCTTGCAATTAAATGATAATTTTCCATTATTTATATCTGACCATGTAGCAGTTTATCAAAATATCAATGTAGCTGTAGATTCTTATAAGGTTGGTTTCCATGGTCCTAAGTAATGTCAATTTGCATATGCATGCAATGAACAATTGAATGGTAACTGAAATTTCTCGATAATATTTTCAGTGAAATGTTTTATGAATAAGAATACTTTGTAATGATGATTTCTAATGTGCATAATCTTTTCTCTTTGTATTCAAGTTTAGTTGAAATAAGTTGTTAAATTTTGAATATAATTCAAATTTGGGAGTCAGTGTTTTGGGTATTAACAAACGAGCTTGATGCTTTACCTTTCTGTAGAATTAAAACATTCACTAATCAAGAAGAATAACTGCAATTGGCTAACATTGATTTTTGTTTGAAAGGAACGCATGGATGTGACACGTTCTTTGGCGGATCTAGACAACTTTGACGGGGGGCCAAAATTTTGAAAATGTTTAAATTTTCAGGGGGGAGGCCAAGATATGTGGCTGAAAACCTTTTATGTCGATTTTATACATAAAACAGACCTTTTTCTGACTCGTTAAAAATTGCTTAAAACGTGGGCCAGCCTCTAGATTCGCTACTGGACACGTTCATGTTTTTATAATATAAAATTTATATAAGCATGTATGGAAACGCGGTCTGCGAGATCTCATCCCAAACTCAAAAAAGTTAATTTAAAATGTGCGAAAATTCATTTTAATCGACTCACAAGCACGATTATTTAAAGTGAATCCCTGATATAAATCTGTTTAAACGTGAAACGCTTGTATTTTAAATTGGCTTTCCTTGCATTTTTAGTGTTCTACTCTGAATATAGTTGATGTGTGATGTGCAGTAATGAATACTTTTTTATTACTAAATGACAATTCTACTTGGCAGTATAATTGAAATTAACAAAAAAAAACAAATAAATTTTAGAGCATATGCACCTAAGATTGAATAATTGTCAATGTTACATTCGAAAAGCGACAAATGTCCGTCAATGTAATACAATGAATAAATCAGCATGTTGTTTCATGATAAATTAACAGATAAGTTTTTAGATTCTTAAAAACATTCGTGCCCATTTCTAGTTTCTTCGAGGACTTTGGTAGACCATTCCATAACGCCGGACCTGCAGCTGCAATGCTTCTTGCACCAGTACATAGTAGAGCATTTTACCATCTTTAAGTTTGAGCAAATTACTTCTCGAGGTCATTGGTGTCTTTTTATTTTTATCCAACAAGTAACTAGGCAAATATAACAGCCTTGAACATTAAAATACATATTTTAAAAATTATCCGTTTTTCGACATTTAAACAGTGAAAATCTTTCCTAGTCTGAGTCACGCAATAAATTGCATGATTCGAAAATACTTGCGTCATGAACTTTCTCTGATTATTCTTATCACGTCGAAACATTCAGTGTGTATGAGTCGGATGAAAAATTTACGACTCCGGCCCTCAAAAAAATCCAAAACCGACATCTCAAAAAATCCGACTTCAAGGTAAAATGTCCGGATTCCGAATACCAATGAATACCAAAAATTTTTTTAACTTATATCACACTTTCACCTTATTATCATTACTGAATGAAAATACTTAAAATCAGTCAATGTAATTGTTTTTCATGGTGAAATTATTTTTATGTTTTACAACGTACTTGAAAAAATTATGCGATTTTATTCACATTCAATCAATCAATTCAATCAATCAATTAGTTTATAAAGCGCTATTTCCGCGATGTTCAACAGCGCTTCTCAATGAATTTTGAAAACAGATGGGTCTTGAGATCCGCTCTGAACTTCGCAAGTGATGGAGAAGTAGTCAGAGAAGTAGGTAGAGAGTTCCAGAGAAAAGGACCAGAAAAAGCAAAAGCAGATTTGGCAAAAGAGTGTTTAACACGAGTTAAGAAAAAGCGAGAACAAGAAAACGATCGTAAACCGGGGCGTTTAGGTTCAATTAATATATCTGATAAATACTTAGGAAATAATTTAGATTGAGACTTATACATGAACATACAAATTTTAAAAATTATTCTATATTTTATAGGTAGCCAGTGCAAGAGAACAAGATATGGAGATATATGAGAAAAGAAAGGGGCGCGAGCAACTAGACGAGCAGCAGAGTTAAAAGCTTTACTTAAAGGATAGAGTATAGAGTCAGGAAGACCATAGTAGAGCGAGTTACAATAAGACTAACGAAGTAACAAGAAGGAGAAGAGTAGGATCATCAAGAAAAGGCAAAAGTTTTTTTATTCTACGTAGATGAAAGTAAGAGCTTCTAGCAACACTATTAATCTGAGAAGAGAGAGACATAGTAGAATCAAAGATAAAACCTAGACTACGAAACTTATGAGAGACATCAAGAGTTTTAGAATCAGGTAAGATAATAGGAGGAATAGTAATAGGGTGTTTAGATTTATTAAAACAAATTAATTCAAACTTAGAAAGATTAAGTTTAAGACACATAAAGTCAGACCAAGCAATAATTGAAGAAAGACATAGAGATAAATTATGAAGAACACTATTGAGATTAGATGGAGGAAAAAAAGTATAAATGTAAGAATCATCAGCATATAGTTGACTAGAGAAATGAAAGTTATTAATAATACGAGGTAATTCAGAAGTATAGAGTATAAATAGAAGAGGGCCAAGGATAGAACCCTTATGTATTCCGAAAGTAAGAGTAGAGGAGTTAGAAGTAAAATTATTGAGAACAACAGGAGAAAAACGATTACAGAGATAAGAAGAAAACCAAGATAGACAAGAATCAGTAATATTAAAAGAATGATGCAGCAGTCTCAAGAGAATAGTATGGTCAACAGTATCAAAAGCCGAGGAAAAGTCAAGAGCAAGAAGAAGAGTAAGATTACTATTGTCACTAGAGAGAAGGATATCATTGTGTATTTTGAGTAAAGAAGTTTCAGTACTGTGAGCAGGTCTGAAACCAGATTGAGATACAGGTAGCATGGAGTTAAAGTTTAAATAGGATGACAGTTGATTAAAAACTACTTTTTCTATTATTTTAGAGATGAAAGTAATATTAGTTACAGGTCTATAATTAGATAAAGAGGTAGGATCTAAGGATGAGTTTTTAAGAATAGGAATAACAATAGAATTCTTATAAGAAGTAGGAAATTTGGAGGTGGAAAGAGATAAATTAACTAATTAGAGAATGATTGGATAAAATATTGAAGAAAATTCTTTAAGTAAATTAGAAGGAAGTAGATCTAGAGAACAGGTGGTAGACGACATAGAATTAATAATTTTAGTTAGTTCTAAAAGATTTATTGGAGTAAATACAGAAAAAGATTCAGTAGTAAGTTTAGTGAAGTTATGAGAAGAAAAATTAGAATTAGATGTTCTTAAAGAAGTAATTTTATTTACAAAAAAGTCATGAAACTGTTGAGCAGAAAAAGATGAGTGAGAGGATTTTTTATGTAGAAGTTTAGATAGAACAGACCACCTATTTTTAGATGTTGAAGTAGATGTTATAGAATTTCTAAGAAAAGTAGAGTGTTTAGAGAATAGTAGATATTTATAATTAATCAATTCAGATTCATAGATAGAATAAAGAGAGTTAGATGGATTTAACCTATAGGCTTTCTCCAGTCGTCTGACACTTTTCTTGGCTACTACACAAGCATAATCAAACCAAGGAGCCTTACGAGAATAGAGCCTATAAGTAAAAGATTTAAGAGGAATAAGCTTATCAAGAATAAAAGTAATGTAGATATTAAAAGCATAGACATCATCAACATCAGAAAATAAGGTAGTATCAAACATAGTTTCAGTAAGAGATTGAAGAAAAATATCTTTATTAAGAGAAGACCAGCATCTTTTAGAAATAGACATAGATGAATTTGAAGGAAGAAAATCTAATGAAAAAACAGATTCAATAAGAAGGAAGAAAATCTAATGAAAAAACAGATTCAATAAGAAGGTGATCAGAATAAGGAACAGAGCTAGCAGAGATATTAATAGGCTTAGAAAAAGATGAAGCTATAATAAAATCAATAGTGTTACCAGAAGTATGGGTAGGAAAAGAACAATATTGAGTTAAGTTAAAAAGAGACAAAATATCATTAAATCTTCGAGTGTAAGAACAGGATAAATTATTGAAGTGCAAGTTGAAATCACCAGAGAAGTAGAAAGGAATAGAAAAAGAGTAGAGAGATTCAGCGAGTAGAATTCATCTAAAAATAAAGTGAGAGAAGAAGAAAGAGGGCGATAGATTACAGCAATATAAAAAGATAGAGAAGAAGACTTAAGAGATACAGCAAGACATTCAAAAGAAGAAAAATTAAAGGAAGTATTAATGGAAGCAGTAAATAGAGATTTATAAAATAGATAGATACCCCCATAAGAAGAATGAGAAGATGATAGAAGATTTTTTGGAGGTCTAGAGAGTTCAAGGAAGCAAGAATAAGAGAGGGAGAGTTAGCATTTATTTTCAGTATTAAAGATGATTGCTTATCGGATAAAAAAAATTTGACTCCGACCTTTTAAAAGTTCCAACTCCGAAAAAAATCTTCGACTCTAACCGACTCTCGAAACATTTGTCACAAACACGCGATCTAAATGATGTAGATGGCTGCGCTCATTCACCCTCTCCTCTTTGAAAGCACTGTGTCGGGACAGATCCTCAATTTCGGTCGATCTCAAATGATTAATAACGATCGCGTTACATCTTATCACATCGGGAACTCATTAAATAATAATATTCTGCCTACGAATTAATAAAAACCAACGGTTTAAGGCAGCTGCAATAATTCATTTTGTTCCACATTAGTTTCCAATTTAGTTTAATTAATTTCTGTTCTACAAAGTTTTTTCGTTTATATTTTCATTTTAAACAAAGGAATTGTGGGAGAATTTAAAACATTTCGAATTTTATTTGCACGCACCACATTCAGATAACTAAAACTAATTTTGGAGAATTTCATGATTTTAGAAAAAAGTATAAATATATAACAATTGAAAACATTATTGAAGAAAATCCTTTGGGCAAAATACCGATAACAATAAAATTTTCATGATTTAATATGCATGATCTTTAACGAACAATGACTGGCTGGCTGCACTGCCACCTTCCTCACCTTGGTATTTGCCCAAAGATGCCAGACTGTTGGCCTGCAGATTTTATTTATTTTAATTTCTAATTAAAAATAAAATACAATTTAAAATATTTAAGAAAGACACGCTGAAAATCTGAAACATGAAGTAACTGGAAATTGGACACAATGAGATAGAAAACAAAAGTAAACTCGAGTAAGCACATTTATTATTTAATGGGCGGCGAGGATCTGGTTCAGCGCTGCAGTGACTGGGTTCGAATGAAAAAAGGACCTCACCTATTAAATGTAATGTTTGTGGTGCGTTGATTTACACACGTTAAATGTCTGCCATTGATACCTCTGTGAACTTATGTGACAGCGCCTTTGAAATGCTGATTTAATTGGTGCTTTATAAATGTTCTAATAATATTAATAACAACAGATTTTTAGCATTCCGTTCTTCGTTTTAAAGTTTTATTACTTAATTTTATGATTTTCTTCATTTAAAAAAATGTTTTTTTCTTTTTTCTTTCACAAAAAAATAAATAAAAAATAAGTCCGACCCATAACGAATAGAGACAATAAACGAGGATTGACTGATTGATTTTAATAAATATAATATTAATGAAAGCAATTTATATTCCTGTAATAACCTTCGCTCTTTTCAAAAGCTCTTGCTGTCCAGCAGTAATGTGATCATCTTTACCTTTCCAAGCATTGATAACGGAAGCTTGAAGAGCTCTTCCATAACTGAAAGTTAGTGCCCATGGTCGATGCAAAGACTCGCAGTTAATCGCATTCAAATGAACTGTCGCATCCACTTCTGACTGGCCACCAGACAAAAATGTTACTCCTAATTTAAATGAAGTTTCCAAATATTAACAATAAAAAAATAAAGTTTTAGTGTTTGAAACTAAATGCGTTGCACTAATATGAAAACACAAATAAATTCAACTTACTAAAATATTAACATTAGAGTTTACACCAACACGAAGGTTATTATATACACTGCGGGAAATTCATTTTATGAAAGTAAGTCAAACCAAAGTGTACAAAAAAGTTACTTTAAGCATAAAACCACGAAAATATATTTTTAAAAATGAGATGAAACATGGATGCGAACAAAAAGTGACCAGGGACAGCTGCAGGGACAGTTCTCCTGAGAGCCAGGACAGTGGCGTGAGCCACTTGCTGGGGAGTGTACTTCGTGGGGCATGATTGGCCAGCTGTCACCATGTTAGGCTTCAGAAGTGTACCTTCTAAGTATATGTGGTGGTCAGCCAAAGCTTTGTAAACAAAAGCAAGAACCTGAAATTTAAAAATTTTATTTGAACATATTCATTTCTACTGTTTTAAAAATTTAACATGAACAAACAAAGCAGTATGACAAATTAAAGGCAGGTTAACATATGTCAAAATAATATATTTATATGATAATTTATTTGATAAAATGGTTGTCAGTACTTTAAACAGACTTTATGATAAATCCAACATCAATTTCTGCTACTTTTTCTCTCCAAATATTGCCGAAATGAGAAAAATCTTAACAAAAAATCAACTAACTTGCTCAGTAACTCTTTGAGCAGTTTCCAAATCATGATCTCCATCAGGAAGAACTTCAGGTTCCACAATCGGAACGATTCCAGCCTTTAACAAGAAAGCGTCTAATGTTATGCTACATTTTTTATGTACATACTTCCAAATTTTTCATATCTACAAAATATCGTACGTCATTTGTCGTTTTTCCATGTTATCATATCTATGTTTATCAAAAATTCTTGATTAAGGTGTTTTTTTTAATGACTTAGTTAACATGTTGAAAAATGACAATAAAATGCTGTGTATGAAACGTTGATGTGAGTCAATCAAATTACCGTTATATAATTTTTTTGTGTCAAATGTGTTGTCAAATTTTGTGTGTAGTGCTTGGCACAGTAGAAAAGAAAATAAAAGTTACAAATTTGAAATTAAAATTTATTTGAGTGCAGCGATAAAAAAAATGAATTGATACTTGTTGGCAAATGGAAGCATAACGAGCAAGAACATTTGCATTCTCAATCATTGCAAGAAGAGACGGTGTGTGGCTCGTTATTTTCAACACGCATCTCCATTTAGCAAAATCAGCTCCATCCTTTTTGTACTGAGCACACCTTTCGGCCAACCCATCAAGACCTTCATTGAATTGGACAATTTTAATCATTATTTCAAATATAATGAAACAAAATAATAAATTATGTTCATAAGCTCATATGCAAATCTTTTATTTTAAAATTTACCCATTTGTCTAGAAAAAATCATAAAAATGTAATAAATGCCAACATTTTATACGAGAAGGAAGAGTAAAATGTATTTTATTCATTAATTGTAAATTTTATTATCAATTAGTTTTTATGGTAAACCAACAACCTGGATGTCTTAATATGTAGAGTCGTTTGTTCAGATTAGCATAAATGCAGAGAAAAACAGTTACATCATATATCAAAATATGTTATAGAAACCAAAGTCAAGTATTTGACAAATTTAAAAGATCTGAAAACTTCAGTTGAATAGATGCACTTATTTGATCATATTACCTTGAGTTGTAACTTCATTATCTGTGCCGGCCAAGTTAACGACACCAGTGTCAACTTTGATTCCAGGAATAATTCCTTGTTCTTTCAGAAGGACTGGTAAAGGTTTCCCACAGTCAGATTTTTGATAGAAACTTTCATGGAACATAATAACTCCACTGATGTATTGGTGCAGATCTTTTCCAGATGTAAAAAGAAGTTGACGATATTTGCGCCTGTTATCCTCGTTGTTTTCCAAACCAATGTTCGCAAATCTCTTACCAATGGTTGCTATTATTAAATTGATGTGTTAACAGTTATTAAACAAACAAACAAACAAACAAACAAACAAACAAACAAACAAACAGACAAACAAACAAATGTATTAGCTAAAAACTAAATAAAACTTAATGAAATAGAATTCAAGATCTTGACTGACATTTTATAAAAATAAACAGAAGAAGACCAACTGAGTGGAAAAGTTATCTAACCAACCTGTACTCTCGTCAGCAGCGAGGATACCTTTACCAGGAGCCACAATAGCTTTCGCTATTCTTGACAACTCCTCTTTCTTTTCCTTGCTCAGGGCATCAACGAATCTCGGCATATTGCAGGTTATTCTGGTGTCTGTGATATAGCAAAACAAATCTCAATTAAACTTCTGGATTATAAACAAATAAATAGATATGAACAGCAGATAATTATGAAATAAAAACGTGAAGGAGTGTCTGAGTTCTAGAAAACTGTGTTGAGAAATTGACTGAACAGCGACTTTGAGCTAAAAAAAACTCAAATGTCGGACTGTGGCTTTCTTGCTGGTGAAAGCTTGTAATTTGCTCGGGTATTTGCGGGCTAAACTGAATAAGTGGGTGGGTTCACGTCTGGACGATGAGTAGTTATCTAGGTTGGTCTCAGGATCTTTTTGCGATATAAATGTACGTGTTTGTCTATGTAAAATACGTATATATGTTTTTATATCTATTAAAAGTAGACGGCTGGTGCTATTAAAAAAATTACTAGAAGAAACAAAACTACTGTTACTGAATCATTTCATTTAATTAATCTATCAATAACCCCGTGATCTCATTTTGTTATCATGTTTCTAATAATTGATTCGTTATTGAAATTTCAACGTTATTTTTCATAGCTAGTAGTTATTTGATTTAACTCTCAATATTTAGCCAGAATCTTCCATACACATAACGTTTTGTCTATCTTTCGGTCATGCATTTTCGGTCTTCACTGTTCCACAAGCCTTCACCTGATCCACTTTTCTTTCCCTCAAAAGCATTTTAAGCAATTTTCCAATTATATCTTTCATGTTTTTCTCCCATAAAACATTCAACTGCAAATACACATATTACAAAGGTTCCTCTGGTATCCTTGCTGATGCACCACGTTAGTGGTGGAGTTAACTTCAACAATTTGTCTATTTACAAGACAATTAGAGTTTTTTATAAGCAAATTTGTCAAACATGTATACAATAAAACAATTAGATACAACCAAGAACATTGGCATGAAACAAGCCTTTCTGATATGTTTTTAAAAATGTTTGACACAGAAGTAAAATTATTTACATAGCTATTTCATTTTTAAATGTACAGTAATCAAACCAATAACATGATGGTCTAGCAACTCTTTTCACTCTCAAGCCAGATTAGAGTAAAGATTTAACCAGACTGGATAAATAAATGAACTCCAAACAGTAAGTCTATTTAGGGAAGCAAACTTTTATTAACTTATTTGCTAATGAACAAATTTCAATAATATATTATAACAAAGTAATCACAAAATCTCTGTGAGACATGTTAGAGCATTGTGTGTTATTAGTTATTTTTTTGATGTAGCTTTATGATATAAAGTTTATATCAGTTGAATAAGAAGCCATTCTTAACACTATCTTCAAGCTGAAACTCTTACACCTTGGTGGTCTGCACTATTATTTAGTTTAGATTCATCAAAAAATTCATTTGTTTAGAACTATTAAATTATTAAATTGCTTATTAGTAGATAAATGCAATAATATCTCTTTGTAGAAGTGAAACATGCCGTTGAACTGAAAAAAAAACCAAATAGAAAATATTTTTTCAAAACAATAAAATAACTGTACATTTATTAAAAAATAACAGTTGGAAACAAAAAATTAATTTCAGTGTAGTTTTAGAAATTATTCAAAACTTTATCATAGTCTGAATAACATACATGAGATGCATAGAATATGACAATGAATTGCATAAGGCATAAGCATAATTGGCAGGGCAGAACGCCAATAAATATAAAATAAACACTTTGAAAAATCTTGTTGATGGCAAATATAAAACAACATTAAAATTACAAATATCTTTTAAAATGCAAGTTAATAATTTAATAATGTTGTCTTCTTCTAAAACTATGCTACCACAATTCTGCCAATAAATAATAAATTTGTATAACTTGAAACACCTGTCATAAAAATTATATGAAATGCTAAAACTGGTTAAAAAATTTTGTTTATTCTACTAATATTAATAAAGAATGCAAAATAAGTTTCTTGAAATATATTACAAAAATATTTACTATGCTAATATTAAATATAATAATAAATAATATAATTAATTATTAATCATTTTGATATGATGTTAGAGTTGAAGGTAAGACAAGTTATGGCCTTGACAGGTTGTATGAAGGTCAAATTATTTACACCTATAAAATTCATTTTCCAACCACCTAAATTTGTAAAATAATCATTTCACAAATGATCTGCGGCAGTAAAATGTGTTGAAAACCTAAAAAAATCTTTGTAGATCATCAGTTATTTAATATCTCATAATATATAATCATACATCACAAAATATAACTGATTGAATTTAAAATGAAAAAATCACGGCGCCAGAAAGCGACATTAAACCTATTTATTAAAGAACTAAACTGTAATCAGATAACGGTTTAAAATGATTTAATTTAACTTAAATCCAAAAAATACAACTAACGTTTTTGCAGGAACCAAGTTCACCAGCCAGCTGAGCTCTTTAAAAATCAGATGCAAGTGCTGTGCGCGCTAATAAACCGATATTTATACCGCTCAACCCTTTTTCCAGAGATATGTATAATACATATATTTATAGAATATAACATATATATGTTATATTCATTATATAATATGTATGCATTTTTTGTATGTCTATATATCCACAAAAATATATGTAATATACATGGATATATATAATTATTATATTATATCCTATATTATATAATTTATATATTATATCTATTTATATGTCGTTATCTATGATATGTTTCAACTCATCTATTTCAAGTAAATGTAAATAGTATTATATAAAAATATATATGTTCTTATCCTAAGGACGGTGAACCATCACGGATCCCATTAGCTTAATGGCACACATACATGATATGCAAACTGCCCGTTAAGTCCAACGAACTTATACAGCAACTCTATTCCAAACATGTATTAAATTTTTCATTTTTCATTTTCTAGTGACAATAACAATCTTACTCTTCTTCTTGCTCCTGACTTTTCTTCTGCTTTTGATACTGTTAATCATGAGGCTGCTAGACCTTTCTTTTAATATTACTGATTCTTGTAAATAAATTAGCTAAAAATCTTGAAAACAAATTTATGAGATACAGATATACTCAGGTACGGTGTATTGGCAATCTTTGTTAATAAGAAAACATCTTAGGAACTTTCTTAATCTTTGTTAATAAGAAAACATCTTAGGAACTTTCTCACAAGTGATTTTAGCAACGATTGTGACAACATTGTTGACAGAGTAGACATCTGATTGAATTGCTTTACTCTCAAGCTTTGCAAATAGAGCAATACAAGTGATTGCAGTCACCAGCAATCATCACATTTGTTTTGCAGAGGTTTACTGTGATACCATGATTAGCAAGTTAAGCATTCAAAACTTAAAACATTTTAACTGCTTCATGTTCTCATGTCAATATCACCTGTTTACATCATGTTCAAGATGACATCTGAGCATACTGACTTAGTTATTCTTCTAAGCCTTTCATTTAAAATGTTTTTAATCTCCAGAACAAATACTCAATATTCAATATAAATCTGCATCATTTTAACAAATCTTGTGAAACAAATGGGTAGATGGTCAGAGTGTTTTGTTTTTATTTCAATAAAAAGTTTGCAAAATTTGCGTGTTGAAATACTGTATCAAAATGTGAAAACATTAACCTAACTAGAAGGAACATGCGATCAATTCTTTTTTGATTTGCCTATCTCTCTCTGTATCAGCATGTCCTTAGGTCTGTAAAATATATGTAGGACTACTGACAGACGACATAACTGTAATTGTTAATATTTCAACTGTGCACTTTTATTTCTCAGAAGTCAATTATCATTTTGGAAACCATTTGATCAACTGGAAACTCTGCCATTTTTCTGCCTGTTTTTGTGAGTACCATGACGATTCAATGTTCCTAATGCATATAACTGCTCCAGTGCAAGTGTAAGGAACTCATGTGGAGGAGGATCCATAAATTCAAAATGTAGAAGATCGTGGATGCCTAAACTCTTTAACGTCAAAACAACATTGCCTACATTTGTACTTTGAATTTCTTGAATAATGTTTTCATCGAGTTCATTTTTAAAATTCCAAGCAGTATAAAGTCTGAAACATTTTCCAGCTAAAACCCTGCCTGCTCTACCAGCCCTTTTGTTAGCCATAGCTTAAGATGTCAGAACAACAACCGGTGAATCAATTCCTGTCTTGGCATTATAACTACTTTGTTTGCAATAGCCAGTGTCTATGACATAAACAATTCCATCAATTGTTAACGAAGTCTCTGCCCTATTCAAAATTGAGTTCTTTTTCATTTGGATTTTCAATATATTTTTCTTTGATATTTTCAGTTCCATCAGGCATATAGTACCTGTTAATCTTTTCAATATTTAAAGCTTTTTTTATGATCTTTCACTAATTTCAAAATATTTTTCTTGTAATCAACTTCCAATTTTTCTTTTTTAGTCATTTCAGTACTTCCAAAAAAATATTCATCATCTCTTATTTTCATCTCTAAATCTTCTATCTATTCAGCGTGTCTTTTTTTAAGTATTCCCTTCTTGATACTTTTTTAAAATCAGGAATTATCACTTTTCAATTCTCACTCTCTAGCTTTAGTCTTTTTAAAGCCTCTTCTTTTGATTTTTTTCTGATTTTGAAATTACTTGTCTTGTTTTTTCTTTGTTACAATTTTTTGATCTCTCAGTAAATTCATCTCGTTCTTTCATGTCCTTAACACTTTCATCACTACTACTGTCTAAGTTTGAAGAGTATTTCATTTTTAAAAAAGTCTTATCTTGATCATCATCATCCACATCATCAAATTCTTTTTTCTGAGATGGTTGCCTTTTTTACTTTTTGTAATTTCATTTCTGCTTTTTTTTTAACAGGAGCATTTTGAAAGAGCTTATCAAATTAAAACGTTACTTTTCAAAAATAGCTAGGGTGACAATGCAGTTATGCTTCAAATATTTTAAAAACAAACTTAGAAGTGAAACCAGATTACTGAAAAACAAAACTTAGTTTCCAAAAAATACAGAAGCAACCCCAATTTTTTTTTTAGAATTTTGTTACCACCTAAATTTGTACAATAAAAATATACAAGTAAGAATGATAAAATAACATTAAAAAATCTGAAAAACAAAAAAGAAATTGTAAAAAGTTTTGACAAGAATTATACTTTTAATCCAATCTCTTCCAAAGCTTCAAGTGCATTCAATACAAGAACTTTTTGCGTAGTTGCTGACATGCTTTTTAACAAAAAGTAAGCAATGGGATACTTCCATGAATCTGATGTACCAACTATCATTAAAACCAGGGCTTGTGATGCCAATTCAATGGATGCATAGTCTTCACCAAAATGTTCATAACCGGAATAGACACCTCTATGTTTTAAATATATCGGCTGTTCCCGAATTGACATACTATCTATCATCAAAGAACAATGTGTAGATTAATTTGCATCCGTTTCGTGTTTATTCTTCAAAAAATTCAATATGGGACGTTGAGGCCTGGCTTTCCATCTATAGATTTCAACCACCTTGATACAATTAAAGTTTTTAAATTTTAATTCATAATTTAATTTCTACATACTTCAACTTTGACTTTTAATTTTTTGGTGTAGTAGTATAGAACCATTCTGGTAGTTTTTAATGATATATCTAATTTTTTAGTTTTCCTTTTCAGGCTTCTAGGTGTCAATGTGTCAATACCTGTCTGTAAAATTTGTCATTTTCCTTCCAACAAATTCATATTAAGTACTTTAACAATTATTTATAATTCTTATTATAGTTATAAAAACTATTTTTTTTATTTAAATAAACCATCATACATACAAACCAATTTAACAATTGATGTTGATGGAACTGCAACATTTTCTAAAGACGTTGAAGATAACTAAAGTTTGAATATTATATATGAATAAATGTATGCATCAGAGTATGTGTGGTAGATTCATCTTAATTTTTTCACAATATGTGCATCTTCTTATTGGCATAAAATAAAAAAAATATTATCTGTAGCTCATGCAATCAGTAATATATCAATCTAAGTAAATTTTATATTTAAACAAACATACCGGCTCATCAGTCGAGTTTGTCTAATCCTGATCATTTGGTAAAAGCTGAAAATTATAAATATTTAATATACTTGATTATGTGATTTGCAGGAACAAATATCTAATTAAAAAACTAACTATAATATGTTAGTGTCATGCAATTAATTCATTAGTGCTTCATTTTTCATGAGGCGTTGATAATTAATTATTTCTTTAAAATTACACCTTTTAGTTTAAATTAATTTTTTCAAAATCAAAATTGTCTATTAGTTACAAAAAGAACTAAACCTTTTGAAATACTGTAGGAACTGAATTTTTTAAGCAGCATTTTAGAACCTACTTTATTGAAACATTCTTGTGAAAAATGCCTGCTGCAGATGAAAATATTTAATATAATTTGTAATGATTTTTATATTCCCTTTCCCCTCTTTTCTTTGTCATCTTTGGTATTCTGTTCGGTTTTATTATATGAAAAAGTTTAAAAATTTTAAGTTAAAATTTTATTATCATAATTATATTATTGTTTATATTATAATACAAAATACATACCTATGTAAAATTACGCAGATAAAACCCATGGCATTGGGATATTGAACACATGTGCATGGTTACACTTAATGTATGTAAAATAATTAGATAACTAAGAAGAAAATGATTTAAACGTTATGCTATAAAAACGAAAACTCCGTGAAGACGATTAAGTTTAAAAAAATAAAAAATCAATAAAATGTCAAATACCACGAAGAAACGTCTAACGTCTACGCGCCAAATTATGTTCTGTCAATTTCATAGAACTAAGAAAAGTTATTAGAAAAGTAATAATTTTTATGACGTATCCATTCTATTATATCCATGGTTTTTACAAATTATTTTGTCGTCGCGGATATCTTGGCTCTATTTTGTTGGCGCCATTTCGTCGGGCGCTATTTTCGCTCTTTTGTTGATGAACCAATCATTTCTTTAAAACAGGTTTATTCATGATAGTTAAAAATTTCATGAAAAGGATATTGAAATAGCAATGCTTTCAACTAAGTTTGTACCCGGCCAAAACAAAACACCAGTTGAAATTGATTAAAACCAAAATATTTCCTTAGACAATAGTACATTCAAGAAATTGAGAAAATAAACAATAACTGCCTTACCAAAACATCAATTAAACGTTTTTTAAAAAAACATTTAAAAACAAATATACATAAAATGTCGATAAGAAGTTACAAAATTTTAATAATAAACATGATTCAACCAGTTTTTTCATCATTGTAACGACCAGTACCTGATCCGGACACCTTCAGGCCACGAACTATCATGAGTGATCAAATTCGCATATTTAGCATCAATACAAAATCTAAAAAAGTAGAAAGCAGGTCGTTTTTCGACTTGACATCACCACCCCCCCCTCTTAAACGTAGGAAAGCATGAAACCTTTCAACATTGTTCGTTCAGCTACAAACTTATGTCCAAGTTAGAAACATACGTGTTAATCTCAGGTTTTAGAGTTAGATTAATAACTACTTTTTCAAACCGTTCGTTTACTGTTAACATTAAATTTTCTGACCAACTTGGTGTTACAGGGTAATGTTTTGGGACCCCAACTTTTTATATAAAAATGATATCACGTGGGAGTTTAACAACATGTTTCTTTATGCAGATGGCGTCAAAATCATTAGTGTTTTGGAAAATCCAAACGACAGAAATACGTTCCAGTATGATTTGGACAGGGTTTCAAACTGGTTCAGTAAATGAAAAATGAAAATAAATGTTGATAAGTGTACATGTCTTCGCAATGGACAATCACACTTTCCTGGATGTTACACTATTCTTCACTCTGCATCATTTGACATCTCAGTAGTTATATATATATATATATATATATATATATATATATATATATATATATATATATATATATATATATATATTAAAGATAGGGATAGAAGTTGTTCAAAAATCTCATAAAATTTATTAACAAAAAACAACACATTTTTCAAAATGTTTTACATAAATTTCCGTTTCGCTTTATAATTTGCAGATTCATAAATAATTTTGGCAGTGTCAATGTAGTTTAATACTTTTTGCTCTATATACAAAATTGTTAAATTATTTAGTCTTTGTTTTCCCACAGTATTTCTTAAATCGCGCGGTTGAATGTGGAACAATTCATCGAGTATCGTTTTCAAAACAAACTCGGTGGAAGAAATTAGATGTCATTACTTTTGAAAAAGGCAAATTTATCTACTCTGGAGGTGATTCATACGAACGAGGAGTAGGTGTACTTTTGAACAAAGAAATGTTCAAACATTTAGAAGGTTTTTGGGCGGTGTCACATAGAGTTTTGCTGATTAAAATATATGCAAAATCTTTCAACCTAGCTGTTATTCAAGTTTATGCGCCAATGTCTGAAAGCAGTGAAAAAGACCTTGATGTTTTTTTACAATGTTCTTGATGATGATGCTTTAAAAACATACAAATTTCAAGAAGTTGTTATTATGATGGGTTACCTGAATGCAAAAGTTAGCTCAAAAAATGCATGACGTAGTTGGTCTTTTCGGGATAGGTGGAAGAAATGAAAAAAGAGAAAAGTTGAATGAATGGTGGGTCAAAAATGATCAAATTATTACCAACATCTGGTTTGACAATCACCCAAGGTGAAAATATACTTGGAAGAGTCCCGGAAATTGATTACATAGCTCTAAATAAACAATTCCAAACCCTGTTTTACCATTCAAAAAATACTCTGAAGCAAATGCTTCTCTGGAGCTTTTTTATTTATGTAAATGATTTTTTAGATTTATTCAGTGATGGAACTAACTTAGATATAATGATGTATGTTGGTGATGCCAAGATATTTAAAGTTGTAAAATCTGACGATGATAAATGTTTTTGCAAAAAGGTTTAAATTTGTTGAACGAATGGTGTGGGATAAATGATGTGAAATTGAATGTTGAAAAGTGCGTTATGATGGCGTATGGATTAAACGTAGGAAGTAATGCTTGTTACAATGTGGGTGCACTGCACATGTTTTGTTATTTGTAAATAATATTATTGATTTAGGAGTTTTATTTGATAGTTCATTAAAATTTATAAAACATATTCATAATATCATCAATATGGAAAAATTAGATAGACATTTCAAAAATATTAATAAAAAGTTTTGTTATTGTTATATAAATCAGTGGTTAGGCCGCAGATAGAATATGTGGTAACGATATGGTCTCCACGGACTCTACGTGAGATTGAAGCAATTGAAAATGTTTTAAAAAGAGCAACCAAAATGGTCAAGGAGTGTTCTCAGATGAAATATGTTGATAGACTGAAGTACTTGAAACTACCAACGCTGAAGTACAAAAGAGAACCTACGTTGTGATTTGATAATTTTTTTCAATGTGATGCACAGAAAAGATAGAAGAGGTTTTCAAGAAATAACAAAAACTGATCATCGCACGAGAGGTGAGGATCAACTCTTTACCATTTGGCAGCAATTTGCAAAAGAATTATTGTTATATTAGAATTAAACATTTGGAGCGATTTACACGAAGTTGTTGTCTCTGGAGTGATTGGATTTTAAAAAAATTGGTTGATGCCTTAATGAATGTGGATTTTAAATTTGATTGGAAAGCTGGTTTATGATGTTAGAAAAATCGCTCTGCTAAATGTGGTTAATGAATGGAAATATTTTTATGTTGATAATTATAATATTTTTATTATTTTCTGGTACACGATGTTAGAACAATCATTTGGTTGAATTTGGTTAATTAATGTGAATATTTTTTGTTATGTAGATAAATAACTTTTTTTCATTATTTTTCTATTCTTTTTTCATGTTTAATGTGAAAAATAGTTAATTTATGTAATTTTCATTATGTTGGCTTAGGAACATTAATGTTTTGGCCAACTTTTGTTCTTGATAATAATAATGATCAGTAAACGAGCGATTGAAATGAAGAGACTTGTTCATATGTTTTGTCGATTACTCCAAAGCTTTTGATAGCGCAAAACACGTGGAGCTTATGGAAATATTTAAAAATTTGGACATTGATGGAAAAAACAAGAGAGTTATCAAAAACCTCTATTTGGAACAAAGAGCAGCGATGAAAGTTGGTAACAAGGTGTTAGACAAAGCTGTGTATTCTCTCCAGACTTGTACAATCTCTATAGTGAGATCATCATGAGAAAGATAGAAGATCTACCTGGAATATCCTTTGGAGGCGTGAATATAAACAATGTAATACATGCTGATGATACAGTTCTTATAGCAGATTCAATGGTTTTTGAAAGTGAAAGGAAAGGCTTGCAAATTAACATCAACAAAATAGAGTGTTTGGCGTTGAAATTGTTTAAAATCGTATACTCGAACAAAATTTTAACGAAAAAAAATATAAGTTAGCAGATGTCATCTATATACATATAAAATGTTTAAAAATAACATAAACACATACCCACGCAGTAATTATTGTTACAAAATAGCATAATACTAAGCTAACATGCTCTTAATGGTGCGCGTGCACACTCATTATTTTTACATTTTACATTTTTCCTTACTCATGTGCACTGTTAACATACACGTTTTATGCGAATTTAAATGCATTGCACATGTGCACAAAATGAAAAAGAGATAAACACACGCTTTCGCACACGAAAAGATCTCACGTGTAAGAAAAAGAGGAAAAATTCTTTGCTCTACTAACGCTTCAAAAATTTAAAATATATATATATATGCATATATATATATATATATATACATATATATATATATTAACACACAATATATATTAATATATATATATATATATATTAACACACAAACACACACACACACACATATATATATATATATAACATAAAGAATAAATTCTTTAATAATAGCTTGAACATGTTACATGCAGACTTTTATACTTCTGAGCAATATGAAGATAGCACAAGCATGAACATTTCAAAATGTTGAGATCTGCGTTCTAGCTGCTTGCTTCTTCTATTCAATTTTATTTTAGTGTTATTAGTAATCGTTTAAAAACATTGTTAGGATAAATTACTAGAATAAGATGGACTTTTTTTTTAACTGAAGATTAAATTGTTCATTTTGTTGTTTTATCGTCGGTTAATTTTTTTCAAGAAATCAAATAATTTGAAACGAACTTATTCACAAATATTTATTGGAAGACATATGAATAACTTTGATAGAAAAAAAGTTATTCTCAGCGCGTTACAAAGTATTTCAAACAATTTTCATTATTTTGAAAGATTTTTTTTAAATTTTGATCTTTTTCTGAGATTTTTTGAGGATGTCGTAAACACGTGAACAACAAATGATCATACCTCATTAATGACTTTGATTAATGACATTTTGAAAGATTTTTTAAAATTTTGATCTTTTTATGAGATTTTTTGAGGATGTCGTAAACACGTGAACAAATGATCATACCTCATTAATGACTGCGTCATTATATCGTTGCTATAAAACTAATTTCATGTTTTAAAAAATTGTTTAATATTTTAAAAATAAACTTATCAGATTGAAAAATGTTGCATGTTTGTTATATCCATTATTTTCAATTATTCTTTGCTGTACCATTTTATTATTTATTTGAAAATGCTATAGCTACTCTTTTGCACGTGTGAAGTTTAAAAAATGTTTGTTAAATTAGAAAATAGGCAAAACATCTTTGCTTGTTGATTTGATGGATTAGTAGTTAGTTAACGTAGAAAGTGAAAATCAGAAATATTTTCTATAAAATACAGTTTAAATTTTTTTATTTTTATTCCCAGTTCATTAAAGTTTTGTTATTTTAATTTTCATATCGAATGAGAAACATGAACTAAATTTAATTTTTTTGTACTAATCCAAATAAGCAAACCACACTGCTGTTGTTTTTCGTGGTATCAATACTATTGTTCGTTTCCATTTAGCTTATAAAGGGCAAATGTGAAATGTAATATAAAAACAAACTCCTCGTCCTTCACAAATGATTTTTTTAGCTACGACACTTTTTCTGTTTTGTTGGGATGATGAATTTGCTGCACCAGAATTGAAATATAGTACCTGATTTGCAACGTTACAATTTTTTGTAATGTCCAAGTTGCTCCTCTGGTAATGCTGCTTATAATTAAGATAATGCCTGTCGCCAGAGTAATTAATTCCATTATTAAAATTTCATACTTGATTTTTTTATTTTTTTAAATTATTTTTTTGAGCTGCAAACATTTTTAACACATTGAATCGATATTTTTATGTAAAAATTATTTTATTCATATTTTTAATTTTTTTTTCAAAAACTGCTTTTTTTAATCGCATTTGCCAACGTTTCGTTGAAATGTCTACAGTGCTTCAGTTTTTCTAGTTTTCTTAAAGCACGATATAATGTGTTGTAATTTTGAATAGTAACTTTTAAATTGAAACTCCAGTTGACAATAGGATGGCGAACTATAAAGCAAAAAAAGCAGGCATGAATTTAGCAGAACAAAAAAAATTAGACGAAGTAAGCTTATTCTGTCAGATAATTTTGAAGTTTAAATCTAAGTTGCTATTTTATTTTGCCAATATTAATTTTCAAACAAAAAATGTGTTTAATATACTTAATGTTATGTGTATAACTTCTGGCTGTAGAAATATGATCAAGAGGAAAAAAATGGAACTCCGGAGCGGGTGATGGTGTGGCTTAATGAAGTACTAGGCAGTGACCATCCCAAATGTGTCTGTTTATTTTCTCATTTTTATTTTATTTTTCATGTAGTAAATATTATTAAAAATATTTATCATATTGAAAACCCAAACTGACCCAAATAAAGCTTCATAAAACAAACAAACAACAAACAGATAAATTCCACATGGAGAAAGTTACAATACTGGATGAGGGACGGAGTTTTGTTGTGCAAGTAATTTTTCTTTAATAGAAATATGTGTTATATCAGTTTAGGAAAATATTTTGTTTCATGTTTAATAACTAAAATTCAATAATAAATTTGAAATAAAGAACATGCCGCTATTAAATTCGAGGTTTGTAAACAAATTGCGGGAGGCGGCTGGCCAGGCTCCTGTGAAATTTCAGGGAAACGCTCACATCCCACTGGTAGCGATGGATAACATTGAAGCTTTCAACAAGGCTGCCGTTGAGTACGGCCTAGATTCATCTTTCACTTTTTCCAGTCAAGATCTCTACGACGGACAAAAAGCTGCCTTCTGCAAAGTCATCATCTGTCTACATCAACTTGGATTAATTGTTAGTTTTGAATAATTTTAAAAGTTTTTTTTTATAAAAACGAGCTTTGTTGGCGTGTGACTTTTTACCTGACAAGAAGTCTTTGTCCAGACCAAACAACTTTTGCTATTATTTGGTTTAAATAGATTAATTATGATTTAAACCCATCTTTGAAGAATCGGTCCCAACAAACTGCTGACGCCATCAGCCTGGGTCCGAACAACCAACTTACACTTTGTTAAAACATAAAAGTGTTATAAGAATTATATCTATTGTAAAGTTTAAATAAATATACGGCAATTATGAATATATTTTTTGTGTATATATTCCACAAATATTAATACAATTTAACGTTGAAAGTTATTCATTTCAGGCCAACAGCAAGTCATTTGCACCGGCGTATAAGGAAGCCTCCTAATTTTGACAACAAATATTCGTTAACCCTTTTTATATTTTTATAAAAATTTCGTCGTTTAAATTCAATGCATGTTATGATTACTTCTGTTACGGTTAAAAACATTATGTAACTAAATTGAAGTAAAGATTTTCAACACGTATAAAAATCTAAGAGAAACTGTTTTGCTTGGCAATTCAAAATTAATAAAAATTTCGTTTAAATAAAATAATTAACCCGCAATTAGTGAACAAAATCTGATTAGGCACCCTATAGATTCAGTTAGCTATTTTGTTGAATGTAAATTCAACGTGTATTCAATGCACATAAGCCGTCCTTTGAGGTGAAGAGATGTAGGCTTTTCATTTCAATTCCCTCCAGCTCCTATTTAAATTGTACGTTGTTTGCCATGGCTTACACTAACATATTACCATTACCGAAAAAGAATTCCCATTCCATCCTGTTCCTTTACTAATCATAGGCTTTAATTTTTGACCAAAATTATATTTATTCAACATAAAATATTAATATGAAACCAAAATGGTAAAAAAACAATTAATGTTATTTACTCTAAATATTACTAATTTCAAGCGTGAAATAGAGCAAAAAATTGAGTGGTTCCAGTTTCCCAACATCAATTGTTGTTGTTGCCGAAATAAAATTTATTTTCCTGAAAATGAGAATTCCCATGGGAAGCATTGAAATTTCCATTTTACCATTTCCACGCCGCACGCCCAACCCACCTCTGTAACTACGATATATACCGACCTGACGAATGAAAACTATTTTTTAAAGTTTTGCAATGAACTTGATAACAAAATTGAAAATAACATCGCTTCACTTTTATGACAATATCGGTCAACAAACTTAGTTGAGATCAACATCATTCTTTAGCTGTTTGTCAATGTGGAATAGCGATTAAAAACTAGGGAGGGTGAAATTTTTAAACGTACGTTCAAACTCAATATGAGTAAAGGAAGGTTGTTGACGGATATTCCAACTACGGCATCAGGAAAATTTCAATTAAAATTTTCTGTGCACTGGTCACAAAACTTTGTGGCAAAGTCAGAAGAAACAAAATTGGAATAAGAAATCCGTGAGTGGGTGGGTTATCTTAATCTACCCGGAACATAATTCCGAATTTTTCAAAGGAAAATAGTAAAATCACTCATTTGTAGCATTTGGTGCGCATCTACTTTTGCAACAGTATTTGGAATATTTATTAACATTTAATTGTGAATCGTAACATAAATTTTTATAAAATAATTACATAATTGTAAAATAATTTTGTGAAATGTTTTATAATGAAAATTTCATTAATTCATACGAACTGAACAAGCAACAACATAATATATTTGTACATCCATTTGCTGCACGACACTCATTTAATTTCATATATTAACTTTGTTCGCTAGTTTCTCCAATGTCGATGCTTGATGGAGCAAAGTGAATAACGTATAGAGCGTAGTTGGAAACACAATTGTCGGGTTTAAATAGATTTAAACCATGTAACCCCAATCCTGAATAAACTTCATTGGTTGACAATCGAAAAAAGATAATTTCTTAAAATTGGTGCGATTGTCTTCAAAGCACTTAATAGTCAATCACCGAAATATTTAGTTGACAAGTTAAGCCAAAAAGTGTCTGCAATACAGGTTCTCATCTTTGTTAGTGGTGCCGGTCACGAAGTTATATACTGGTCTCAAAATATTGCTGTAGTTGGTGGAACAACCTGCCTGCACCATTGAGAAGACCTGGACTGTTTCTCACATCGTTCAAAAAGAGTTGAAAGCAATTTTGTTTTTATTGAAGTTACATTAAACTGTTTTTGTTTCGTCACGTAAAGTTTGTTTGAATTTGAGAGCGCTCTTGAGAGTATTTAATGGGTGCTAAATATAAATGATCCTTAATAATGCATACGTGCTTATTTACGTGTGTTTAAATGACGCGTGAAGAAGACCTTAAATGACGTTGAAATTCGATAAAATTATTTTTAAGATTGTTTTTCATTAAATTGATTAATTTGCCACATTGGAAAAAATCTATTTTACTCTTAAAAATTGAAAATTTTACGCTTATAAATAAACTTTTGAATGTATCTTCGATATCCTTTAGTTAGCGAGTGCGAGTGTCGTAAATGTTTCGCGTAATTGTAGTTGTGCGTTCACCAGGTGGTCCATGGTCATATTATGCAAGGTTTGCGGTCACATAAGTTTATGCATGGTGTGTGTCCTTGTGATCTACAACTTTTCTGTAAAATAATACTAAGAAAAATTCTATAAACTCCAAGTCAATTAATGTGACTTGCTAAATATGAAAGTGGATGAAAACAGGGTAGTTGAAGGCAGTTCAGCTTTGTTTCGAGTTTTCATTTTATTTATTCATGCTTCACTTTGTAGCTAGAAACATTACTGCCTCCAGAAATACACGATCTTCTATTGTAACGTATTAGAATCAACTAGGACTAATATTATTCAATACAAAAATCAGCGTAGCAACAAATATTCAACCTGATGATAAAAAATAGTTGAAAGTGAAAAGAGAGCGGGAAACAATTAAGTTATGTAGGCGCAGTGGAGGAGAGACATGAAGTTTGCGAGTGGAGATGATTAATGACGGGCTTTTAATAGGAGTTCAGACGGAGATGACGGAAAATTGAAAAATAATTCGGGTCGTTGGCTGCCTGCCTGTGTTCACCACATGCTCAACATGTTCACCCTGATTATCGTGTTCATCTTGTTCAACGTGTTTAGCATGTTCAGCATGATGAACATGTTCATCGAGTTCACCATGTTCATCGTATTCATTATGTTGAGCGTGTTTATCATGTTCATTATATTCATCATTGTGTTCATCATGTTCAATATGGCAATCATGTTCTTTACTACTGCTACTAAACTACTACTACTACTACAACAACTACTTTTTTTACTACTACTACTACTAATACAACTACAACATCTACCTACTATTACCATTGTTACCTACTATTACCAATGGATATGCGTCTCCAGGTCTGATCTCATTCTCTCTGTCTCTTTGTTTTTCATGTTCATCATGTTCAACTCGTTCATCGTCTCAGTCATGTTCGTCATGTTCATCGGCTCGATGTCGACTCAAATTTTAAGAACTTACCCCAAATCTTGCGACAAAAATAAGAATATATTATATGTAATAAAAATGACATAATTTTATTTCATACAGGATTGACTTGTAATTATAAATTGCTTTTGCCGATTCGAACGTTAAACGACTTCCAATTACTGTGGCCAGTTTAAAAGTTTATGTAGAAAGATAATAATAAAATATAACACCAAAATCTGTAACTGAGTTTTAAAGTTAGTCCCTTGTTACCAAACAAGTGAAGCGCTTTGTTTACATTTAACTTGAACATTTTTGCTGCTAACCACAGGCATCCACACGGAGTCAACTGCAGAAGAACAGTTGATTGTAGATGGCTCGTCCTGTGGTTTCGCTGATCTTAAACTGCATGTTCGGATGCAGATGACGACGGTGTTCGCAAGGTAGGCAGGAGATGCTGCTGGAACCATGACGTCAGGAAGGAAGTTGCACGTGATCATCTTCCTGTTGTGTTCGTCCGTTCGTTCGTGTTTCAAAAAATCAGTCTATGGAAAACCGTTAAAATTTAAGAAGCCGACAAAACGTTATAATTTAAAAAGTTGACAAAATTTTTAAAATGCAATACGATGTTAATAATAATAATAATAATTAATTAATAATAATAATAAGAATAAGAAGAATGTCATACGTGAATGAATTGTGTGTCAAGAGATCCCTTCAATTTAATTCTATTTTGCCTGCATTGATAAAATGGCAAAATTCCAACAGTTTCATATTCAAATGATTTTCCGGAACAACATCATAATGAATGCCACCCAGCAGGTTACTTGGTTAGGCGGACAACCCCACCAACCACCCACC